TGCATTGTTCAATTACTTCACTAATAACCATAAGCTCATTATTCTTGAAAGACTTCAATGTTGGATCCACCAATGAGATGATATTCTGCTTATCATGAAGATATTTCGCCGCCTAAAACAAAGCAACAGTTATGATAACAACAACAAGCTCAGTAAAATCCCACAAATTAGGTCTGAAAAAAGAATAAAGTTTGGCACCTATGATGTTTATGAATTGTAAAAGAATAAAGTTTGACAAATCCTGCTCTAGCCCGAGGCAAATCTAGGATTTAGGTTCATAGTAAGCCTAATAATACACACATAAGCATCATTTTTTTTTTTTTTTTTTTTTTGCATATGTACTTATGGACTTTGTTGCTCAGACTCTTTAAAAATCCTCGAAAAGTACTGCATTTTTTGAGGATCTGTGCGACACCATTTCTTGAGATTCCACGCAACATAGGTTATGGATCGAGACGAAAGCAATGGATTCAAATGAACCAACTGAACCAGCTCTTAGCTTGCCTCTGGCACTAGCCAGAAACAAGAATTGCAGCATAGGGAACAGAACATAAAAGTTGAAGAATTAAGAGAATAAGGGAAGCATATGATATAGAAAAGATGATAATTTACCAAGTTCAGAAGAGACTCTTTTTCTTCTGAATAAGGCGATTTTCCAGAAATAATTTCTAGTAAAAGAATTCCAAAACTATAGACATTCATTTCAGGATCAGCAAGCGGCGGCAGCTCAGAGTTCTCTAAATCATCACTAGAGGACTTTGACTTGGCCGTTAGTTCCGACCAGAAATCAATTTCTGTAATCTGTATAACGAAAAATTACGGATTTACTTCCACATTGTATACAATACAAGTGTTCAAAGATTCATTTATAGTAGATATAGTTTCTTGATGACATATTGAGGTATATATAATCCATAAGAAGCAGACCTTAGCAGCATAATCGTCGGTCAAAAATATGGCCTTTGAATTCAAGTTGGAATGTGGTACGGGCGGGTTCAAATCATGCATGTACTGAAGACAATACGCTGTACCCATGACCGTCCTCATCCTTGCGGGCCAGTCAAGATGATCGGCTTCTTCAACTGGAACAGCGAAAAACATTTAGTTCGCGTTATTGATTGATAAATCAAAGCACCAATATTGGCCGATTAACTGAAACATGAATTGCTAGAAAGTTTAATTACCATGAAGATGTTCGAAAAGAGTTCCATTTGGAGCATACTCGAAGACCATCATCCGAGTGAAAGGTTCATCCTCCTCGCAATATCCAATAAGATTAACAAAATTCTTGTGGTTCACTCTTGAAAACGTATCGATCTATTCAGGTAAAACAATAAGAAACATCTATGAGTTTTATAATTGAAAAAGTAAAGTGTGAGACAGAAAAAGATTTTAGGGATTGTATATTTGTGAAAGCAAAGCAATATTTACTTTCTTTCTGAAGGCAGTTTCTGAGTGCATAGACCAATTACTCAGAGAACTTATAGTAGTTGAGATAACGGCAATCTCCACTCCGCTGGACAGTGTTCCTTTGTATACTATATATGAATCGCCGCTGGTTATAATGTTGCTAAAATCCTCGCATGCTGTTTCGAGCTCGGACCTGTTCAGTTTTGGTACCCCTACAATGTTTCCACCATCAAGATAATTACAATGGAAAACAAATAATCACGCAGTAAGATGAAGGATTTCACCTTCCTACGGTTGTTGCTGAAAAGCAAGATATAGTGAAAAAGGGTATATAAAAACGCTACGCTAAGAATATTAGTACTACAATTCCTCATAAGAGGAAAAATATCAGTACTTCCCTTTATTCAATTAAACATGTTATAAGTATTGATTAATGGGATGATATCAACCAGTGAGAAAGGTTATTAACGCTTCAACTAGTTTGAGGGTGGGGACAAAAATCATGTTCGGCATGAGAACAAAGTCCAACATTGGTAGCTGAAAAGATTGAAAGCCTACATATAAGTTAAGTGTGAAATCTTTTAAGGAAAACTGTACGAGCTTGGCCCAAAGCGGACGATACATATAAGGTAAGTGTGAAA